TACATGTTAATGAGGATTAATAATCTGTTTACATGTTAATGAGGATTCATAAATCTGTGTATATGTTAATGAGGATTAATTATGTGCTTACATGATAATGAGGTTTCAACAAAACACTACTGACAAGGGTCCTATGGTCTCACATTATCATTTGACAGGCAGAGGATCAACTACCAGTGTCATCTTTGCCCAGAGCATCGTCTGACAGGCAGAGGATTAACTGCCGGGGTCCTAGTGACCAAGATCAGTGTCTTACAGGCAGAGGACCAACTACCAAGATCCTTTGGACCGACAGCAACGTCTGACAAGCAGACCAACTACCAGTGTCATTATGACCCAGAGCATCGTCTTACAGGCCAAGGACCAACCCCCAACATCCCATTGTGCTCATAGGCTAAACTATTAGAGAGATGAAGAGATGACTCGCTGTTGTGCTTATTTTTTGTAACCAGTGTAGCACCAAAGCATAGCGGAATTAACAAGCTAACTAGGGTATGGCTGGCCACAAGCATGCTAATTATTTAATTCCTTCATAAAACACTGGTTTGAGAGGAGAGAGGGAAGGAACTTCAGCGACTAGCTAGTAACTAGCCAGCTCGTATTGTCTATTTGAACAGAAAGGCGGTCTGTAGTGTTGTTGTTGTTATTTGTATTATTGTTATTTTCATCCAGAGAGTTTGTACTCACCGACCACAGTGAGCAGCATGTTGTCGAGCAGCAGAGCGACACAAACCACCACCAGGACGAGTCTGGGGGAACCTCGACTCTGACGGAGCCACGCCATGTCTGCACGCACGCACGCGCACGCACGCGCACGCACGCACACACGCACACACGCACACACGCACGCACACGCGCACACGCGCGCACACGCACACACACACAGAAACAAACAGAAACATTTATCGTTGCGTCTTTGCTTCTGTTGGTGTTGATGGTGACGGCATCTGGGGTCAACATGTTAAACTTCAGTATTTATTTATTTATTTATAATGAGTTTGTATAATGTATACTTCCTGTATGCAGGTATAATGTTATTGTAGTTAGCATGCTAAGCTAACATTGGAGCACAACAGATGTGTCACAAAGAAGGTTTTTTCTCGTTAGCATGAACATGAGCTGAGTGACTTCTCTTTTGACTACTGATTGGTTTAGAGGCTCTCTCCTCCCTCTCTAACACAGTTATCTCACACACACACACACACACACACACACACACACACACACACACACACACACACCTGCTTTCATCCTCTTATCTCTTTGCATCTCGTTTGTCTCTTGTTTGATGGAGAATTGATGTGAAATGTAATTTTGCGTCTGAATCATGAAGTCTGAGGATCATTCTTCAGTTTTATATTCTGAACTATACAATTTAAAACACTGAACACTTCAACACACGTCAAGAAATCTCAACAAAAAGAACAATCACAAATAACATGTTATTTTCAAAAGCCTCTTAATATCGACTGTATAAAGATAAGACTGAAAGTTAACATTAAGGACATTAAAAAACAGATCAATAAATATAAAGAAATAAGAAATGAATCAATAAAACAATAATACATAAATATATATGTTATAAATAAAAATCAAACAATAAAAGATACAATTATTAATTTAAATCTAGCAAATCTAACTTAAAAATAAAAATATGTACAATAAATATACTATATATATAATTAAAATACATGTTAACATTTTAGAAAATAAGATGATATGAAACTCACAATACATAAATAATTAAGACATAAAAAAACCTGCAATCTAAAGAAAAAGTTCCACTAAATCTGAACAATTTATTAGAAATAAAACTTTAAATTAAAACACAAACATTAAAGACAAACGTCATCATTTGCAAAATAAAAGCTCGACCAAAATAAAATGCGACTGAAAGGAACTTTAAATCCTGACGGAGTGAAATCAGCTCACTGATTTATTTTAAAGCAAATTAAGATAAAAAAATAAGAAAAAGATTAAATAAATAAAATAAAACTCACTTCAGAGATTTCCTTGACAGATAGGTGTCTCCTCGCTGGACCAGTGAAGCTCTGGTTCTGGTTCCTTCAGCTGCTGACGGACCGACTATGTATCAGACCTGGGGGGGGGGGGGGGGGGGGGGGGGGGAGGGGGGGGGGGGGGGGGG